CTAAGAAAGGGTAGAAGGGAGAACAGCAAAATAGAGACAATGGATTTCAGGAAGACGGATTTTGGTAAGCTCAGAGAGCTGATTGGTAAGGTCCCATGGGAATTGAGACTGAAGGGAAAAACAACTGAGGAGAGTTGGCTGTTTTTCAAAGGGACATTGTTCAGGTCCCAAAAGCAACCTATTCCACTGCGTAGGAAAGATAGAATATACGGCAAAAGACCACATTGGCTTAACCACGAGATCTTGCATGATCTAAACATAAAAAAGGAGTCATATAAAAAATGGAAAGTAGGACAAATTACAAAGGATGAATATAGGCAAACAGCACAGGACTGCAGGGGCAAGATTAGAAAGGCTAAGGCTCAGAATGAGCTCAAACTAGCTACGGGAATAAAGGGAAACAAGAAGACTTTTTATAAATACATTAGAAGCAAGAGGAAGACCAAGGAGAGGGTAGGCCCACTGGTCAGTGAGGAGGGAGAAACAGTAACCGGAAACTTGGAAATGGCAAAGATGCTTAATGACTTCGCTAGTGGGAAGGGGGTAGTTTTAGAAGGTAAAATAAAAAAAGAACAAGTTAAAAATCACCTAGAAAAGTTAGATGCATGCAAGTCATCAGGATGTGATGAAATGCATCCTAGAATACTCAAGGAGCTGATAGAGGAGGTATCTGAGCCTCTAGCTATCATCTTGGGAAAATCATGGGAGATAGGAGAGATTCCAGAGGATTGGAAAAGGGCAAATATAGTGCCCATCTATAAAAAGGGAAATAAGAACAACCCAGGAAACTATAGACCAGTTAGTTTAACTTCTGTGCCAGGGAAGATAATGGAGCAAGTAATTAAGGAAATCATCTGTAAACACTTGGAAAGTGGCAAGGTGATAAGGAACAGCCAGCATGGATTTGTAAAGAACAAATCATGTCAAACCAATCTGATAGCTTTCTTTAATAGGATAATGAGTCTTGTGGATAAGGGAGAAGCGGTGGATGTGGTATACTTATACTTTAGTAAGGCATTTGATATGCATGATATTCTTATCAATAAACTAGGTAAATACTACTTAGATGGGGCTACTATAAGGTGGATGTATAACTGGCTGATAACCGTACTGAGAGAGTAGTTATTAATGGTTCACAATCCTGCTAGAAAGGCATAACAAGTGGGGTTCTGCAGGGGTCTGTTCTGAGACCGGCTCTGTTCAATATCTTCATCAACGATTTAGATATTGGTATAGAAAGTACGCTTATTAAGTTTGCAGATAATACCAATCTGGAAGGGGTTGCGACTAATCTGGAGGATAGGGTCATAATTCAAAATGACCTGGACAAATTGGAGAAATGGTCTGAGGTAAATAGGATGAAGTTTAATAAAGACAAATGCAAAGTGCTCCACTTAGGAAGGAACAATCAGTTTCATACATACAGAATGGGAAGTGACAGTCTGGGAAGGACTACTGCAGAAAGGGATCTAGGGTTTATAGTGGACCACAAAGTTGAATATGAGTCAGCAGTGTGATGCTGTTACAAAGAAAGCAAACATGATTCTGGGATGCATTAACAGGCGTGTTGTGAGCAAGACACGAGAAATCATTTTTCCGCTCTACTCTGCGCTGGTTAGGCCTCAATTGGAGTATTGTGTCCAATTCTGGGTACTGCATTTCAAGAAAGATGTGGAGAAATTGAATAGGGTCCAGAGAAGAGCAACGAGAATGATTAAAGGTCTAGAAAACATGACCTATGAGGGAAGGCTGAAGAAATTGGGTTTGTTTAGTTTAGAAAAGAGAAGATTGAGGGGGGACAAGATAGCATTTTTCAGATATCTAAAAGGGTGTCATAAGGAGGAGGGAGAAAACTTGTTCATCTTGGCCTCTGGGGATAGAACAAGAAGCCATGGGCTTAAACTGCAGCAAGGGAGGTTAAGGTTGGACATTAGGAAAAACTTCCTAATTGTCAGGGTAGTCAAACACTGGAATAAATTGCCCAGGGAATTTGTGGAATCTCTATCTGTGGAGCTATTTAAGAGTAGGTTAGATAAATGTCTATCAGGGATGGACTAGACAGTATTTGGTCCTGCCATGAGGGCAGGGGACTGGACTCGATGACCTCTCGAGGTCCTTTCCAGTCCTAGTATTCTATGATTCTGTGATTCTAGATTGGATAATCTATTAGCTCTTTTTGACTCTTAGTTCTATCAGACTACAGTTATAGAATCATAGAACACTAGAATTGGAAGGGACCTCAAGAAGTCATCAAGTCCAGTCCCCTGCTCTCACATCAGGACCAATCACTGTCTAGATCATCTCTAATAGATGTCTATCCAACCTGCTCTTAAGTATCTCCAGTGATGGAGAGTCCACAACCTCCCTGGGCAATTTATTCCAGTGCTTAGCCACACTGACATTTTAGAACGTTTTTCATAATGTCCATCCTAAACCTCCCTTGCTGCAGTTTTAGCCCATTGTTTCTTGTCCTATCATCAGAGGATAAGGAGAATTTTATTTCTCCCTCCTCATTGTAGCAACCTGTTAGGTACTTGAGGGCACGTCTACATTTACAAGAAGATCAGTGCTCCAAAGATTGATCTTCCAGTGTTTAATTTAGTGGGTTTAATATAAACACCTAAATCCAATACTGAGGTCAGCCCTTGCAGGTGTTTGATACTCCTCCCACTGTGTGGCCACCACCACGGTTCATCTTAAGGTAAGCTGACTCCAGCAACACATTTTGAGTAGCTGGAGTTGTATACTCTACGTTGACTTGCCTGGTCTTGTATGGACCACACCTTAGAGCTGTTATGTCCCCTCTCAGTCTTCTATTTTTGAAACTAAACAAACCCAATTCTTCCAGTCTTCCCTCATAGGTCATATTTTCTTGACCTTTTTGTCACTTCTGTTACTTTTCTCTGGGACTTCTCCAATTTCTCCACAACTTTCTTGAAATGTGGTGCTCAGAATTGGACACAATATTCCAGTTTAAGCCTATCTGATGCAAAGTAAAGCAGAAGAGTTACTTCTCATGTCTTGCTTACAACACTCCTGTTAATGCATCCCAGAATGACTGCTTTTTTGGCAGGAGTTCTATTGTTGACTCATGTTTACCTTGTGCTCCACTATGTCCCATAGATCCCTTTCCTAGACAGTCACTTCCCATTTTGTATGTATGAAACTAATTGTTCCTCTCTACTGGAGTACTTTGCACTTGTCTTTAATGAACTACATCCTATTTATCTCAGACCATTTCTCCAGTTTGTCCAGATCATTTTTAATTATAGCTCTGTCCTTTAAAGCACTTCCTACCCCTTACAGAGTGGCACCAGCCATTACTTCAACTAGGTTCTGGATCTTCTTGCCAAGGTTTCTGATGACCTCTTTCTAGCCAAATCACATGTTGTATTTCAAACTCCTATTTGACCTCCCAAACATCCCTTCTAAAGTCCATAGAGAACAATCTACAAAGGTCATCTCCTTTATTCATTCTTCTGAGTGTGTCACCTTCTTGAATTCTCCCTCCATTTTCTCCTTGAAGCTTGTCTCCACCTCTTCAGCAACTCTTATTCTTGTACTGTAAGAATCTGCTTATCCTATTTTCTCTTTTCCCTTTTCACTCTTCCCTCACCTCCTCAACTGATGATGCCACCCTCTGACAAAATGTTTGTTCACTTCTCCTACAGATGCTCTATTATTTCTTCCATGCTACTCTTGATGCATAGAACACTCCTGAGCTGGTCTGCAAGGCCACTACCCCCTGAGAATTAAAATCCCCCTTGAAGAATTTTTTTTCATACTGTCAGGATTGTATTGAATAATAATTGCAGGATGAGAAGCAAGTAGATATTTTCCCTCAAACTCTAAAAATCTAACAAGAATAAATTTTAAATGCTTTATTAAGATGAAACCAATTATAATCCCGATGGCTGACTATACAGTCTGTCCAGGAGCTGATAGCTATGCCAGCCCTCTGGGCAAGGTGAGGGTGGGGTGCTCTGGACTCCCAGTTGGGGTGGGGCTATGGGCCAGAGGGACAGGGGCTGAGGACAGTCAGCCCTCAGCGCTGCTTGGAGCATGCCACGCTGCCTGCCCCTCCACTAGCACACAGAACTTGTGGTGCACCGATTTAAAGGGCCGAAGGCTCTGGGTGCCACCGCTGTTACTGAATCGCTTTATACTGGAGCAGTTGCCCTCATCCTCCACCCACCCCATTTGCAGACTTAAGTCTGCCCCTTGCCTTTGCCATTTCTGTCTGCTGAGTTTGGATTGCAATGTCTTAAAGGCAGTGCCCGTTCCATCTTCCATGTCTGTTCAGTGTCTACTGGACACAAACAAGTAATATAAACAATAATAGAAAAACAAAAGAAACATATTCAGAAAATATCTGAACAAAACAATTCATGAGGAGTCAGATCCTCAGTGGCTATTAATTGGCATCACTAAGTCAATGGAGCTAAGCCAGTTTACACCAACTGATGATGTGGCACAAGAGTTCTGTTATTAAACCAAACAAATCCAATATACTTGTTGGCATCAGGTTCAATCCCAGGACTATCTCAAGATCCATCTGGGTTCAAATGGTCTCCTAAGCTATTTTGTCCTATATTAGTTCACAATGTCAGATTCTCTTTTCTTTTTGGACCTATAAAAGTAAATTTGACCCTCTCTCTCGGCTGCCGCCCAACGTGGCACTCTAGTAAGAAATTTCTGAGACTTTTAAAAATGTTATTCTCTTACCTCCTTCTTTGGAACAGAGATTGACTAGATTGTGAACTGTGTCCATCAGTTCCAACTGCTGTTTCTGCAGGACACTGTTGTTGTTTGTTGCCTTGTTTAATTGCTTCTCCAGCTCCTGGATTATGTAGCTTTGACGTGAGACTAAGCCTTGCAAGTTCTCCTTTTCCTCCTTCAATGTATCCAACTCTTCTTTATGTCTTTCTTCCATTTCTAATATTTTATGCTCAAGTAAACTTAAAAAAATAGCAGACATTAGTTAGTTTTAATACACATTGACACAGAAGCAGGTATCTATCTTATCATTTGCTTGTATGCAGAGTTCAGCATGTGAATTACATATGCTTTAAAAAGGCAATAAATGTCACTTAAAAAGGTTAACCAAGGAGTGTCATATTCCATCTAGTACCTAAACACAACTGACATCTAGGATCTCTCTTTCTAAACTGTGCATGTGATTGCATTTCTAATTTGCACACCTACCTTGGGAACTGCATGCACTGTGGTCAGTTATGCATCCAGCTGCAAATCTGTGCATGTGGTCATCCACTTTGCACAGGTAGTTAAGTAACCAAATTAGAAATGCAGTCAGGAGAGGGAGAAAAGATGAACTGGTCACCTAAGTTGACATTATTGGTGGAGTGGTAGGAAATGGGATCAGAGCAGCTACTGCAAAAAAATAAAACTTGAGAACAACAGGAAGCCAGACAGAGGCTATGGAATCAATACTAAAAATACCTAAACATCAGGCTAATTGATTCAGGAAAGCACCTTTAAAAGAACAGGAGAGAAATATAGAATAATATCCAGACTACTTCTATTTTTATCAGGGTCTCACATGGAATCCTCCCACAAGCTTTGGCAGTGTATTACATATTCAGAGCAGGAGGCTTCTATACTGCAATCTAAAGCTTATAAAGACTTATGAAAGCCTTGTTAGAACCAATTCCTTTTTGTTTCTTCATGCCACTGTTTTATATTTTCCTCTCACTCAGGACTTCTGGAAATTCTTTTAATTGTTTTGCTTCAGGCTAACATTAAGTGAGAAACAAAGAAATGTAGCCTGCAGTTAGTCTAATATGAAAGCCACTTTTTCTCACAGATTATATTATTTCATTATATACCAAATAATTAAACAGCAAATTAGAGTTATAACTGTATCCTGACAATTTTACACACTTTTACAGTGAAGAAAATTATGGTAATAGCATACTAACAAGATATAGACATTTTATATTACTTGGATGAATCAATGCAGTGCAGATAGCTTCCAGATCATTAGAATGCAATGCATACAGGACAACCTCGGTTAAAAAAACCCCCAATTCAGTACTTTGTATAAACTTCTGTATAATTTTAATAAAGTATTGTTTGATGTCACAATCAATTTGTATTGGAAGATTTCATGCTTCTCAACTTGTATTGGCAGATTTTAAGTGACTATCTAAGATAGGAAAGGAAAATTTGAACAGGTGTGTTGTATTCACTTCATATTTTTTCCCAAAAGGTAAATCAGAAAGTTGGATATTTAATGTGAGATCCTTATTGTGTCAAAATCCCTCACAATGAACTCTCCTTGCACAATAAAAAAATAAGATGATGACTCAGATGGTATCCTGGAGGACATCAGAATCTTCAATTGACCCCTCAACCAGGAAAATCTTGAGTACAACTATATAAAAATAACTTGACTAGCTTTCATCAAATGTTATGGTTAATTTTAAAATAAATGCATGCAAACATTCCCCCCCCACCCCCCATGTACTTTTTATAAAGATCAAAAGAATGTTTGATTATATCTAAGGGTATGTCTATGCTAGCTCGTTAGTTCGAGCTAGGTAGGGTAATTAGGGCAAGCAGAGTTGCAAATGAAGCCTGGGATTTAAATATCCCGGGCTTCATTTGCATGTTCCCAGGCACTGCCGTTTCCCCCTTAGTCCAAACTCTGTGCCCGCGGCTATACGTGGCATGGAGTAGGTAGTTCGAATTAAAGATCCTAATTCGAACTACCATTACTCCTCGTGGAAACCAGGGTTTTTGTTAATAGATTAACAAATGAAAACCTCCCATCTGCTGAACTTTTGATCAGTGTTTCTCCTGTGTATGCCAAGGAGGTATTTCTAATACTATAAACTGACCATTGGTCTCCAACTTGCCAATAGCACACTTCCTGTCCAAGTTAGTCCTAGATTTTATTTATTTTCTCTTTCCTTGCACCTTAGTTTTTACTGCTGGGTAATAGATCAGTGGCAAAATGCCTACTTTATTTCAGGTGATTTAAGATAACTGGGAAATGTAATAAAATCCATATGGAATTGTTTCTATTAAATATTACAGTCTTAATGTGAGCTGTAACAAATGATAACAGTGTAAAGATTATACTAGACCTGGGATTTACTGTACACACTAGAGTAATATAAAGCTTAAATACAAAGTAAAACAGACCCCTAAATAAAACCAAAAGCAAATCTCTTTTTCCCCAAACATGAATTTTGGATTTAAGAGGACAGTCAAGAAAATATATTGTGCAAGCATTTCCCATCCTTTTCTGTGGAAAGCCAGGCAGATCTAGGTAACCAGAATACCACTTTTTCGGTATCATCCTTTTCCCTAGCTGGAAGGAAAAAGATGACTGATACTCAAGGCTCTTAAACTTATTGACAAATGTATAAAAAGGAACACTGTATTGGACATTGAGGCTATAAATATTTAAAATGGAAACAAAGTGCAAATTGTTAACAATGGGGTTAATGCTTCATCACTAGACATTAATCAAGACTGAATGTAGATCTACAGGATGGATGTTTTTGTTCAGCTACAATTTATTCAGGGATCACCTGGTGAAATTCTACATCCCGTGTTATGCACTAAGTTTGGAGAGATGACCTTAAATATCTCTTTTAGACAGAACTGGTCAAAAATTTCTAGACTGAAGCGTTTTCTAATGCAATAAATCTTAACCTTGGACAGGAACGTATAAATTCCATCAAAATTTTCATGGAAAATTATCAAAATAATTCATTTCACTAAGGCTGAAATGTTTCATTTTGATTTTCACATTTCAACTTTTATGATGTATTATTTTACAATGTATAATAATATAACTAATTTAAAAAGGAGAAGCACAAGACTCTGAAATAAATGCCTGCTCAGGCCATTGTGTGCTGGATGATAGAGTAGCTGATATAGTTCTTGATGTTGCTAGGTTGGAATATTTCTCTGTTGCTGAGTGGTAGGGCAAGATTAGATGCCCCCTAAATTTGCATCAGGCCATCCAAACAGTTTAGGACACAATGTAATTCTTGCCATTGCCATGCAACATTTTACATCTGTGTCCATGCCTTAATGGTTTCATAGAAAAAAAAAGTATTGACTGCCACAATATGGATTGCTGCATTGTTTGTTTCTTATCATACATTTCTTAACAGTAAATGAATCCCTGGTGATGACAGTTATTTATTTTTTATCTTTTATTTATAGCAACATTGCTCATGTCAGACAAGGAGAAAGAAGATGATAATGCATAGAGCTTCATTGTTTGAAGTCTATGCAGAGAGAGAGCCTACAGATGTTTTATTGCTTTAGCAATAACACTTTATATTTATGAGTACGGTGTCAATAACATGTGGTACAAAGAGGGGGGTGACAGTGCCTGGTTACTTTATGCTATGCTATGTAGATTAAAAATAGAATTATAAACTGCAAAACTAGTAAGCTGTTAGGATATGTTTATACATTGACCTGCCTCTCTCTTTTTTTCCCCCTTAGATACAAAAATATGAAAGACAAGAATATTCTCTGAGGAGAGGTGAACTCCCTGTGACAAAATCACCAATAATGCAAGTCCCCTGAATTCAATTAAGTTTTATTAAGAACCAGTGAGAACTGTCTCTTGAAATTCAAAATGAGCAAAAAAATCAACATTTTATTTTGATGGAAATTTTGAAGAAAGCAACTGTTCCGACAGTTTTGAAAAGACAAAAATCATATATATAGTAGCCTAGTGTCTGTGCATCTGTAACACTGACGTACACGGCCACGCCCCCGGCCGTGTACGTCAGCACCCCGCCCCCCTTTCCCTCGCTCCGTGGCCGTTCGGCCAGCCCCACGGCCCCCCGGACATCCCCCCTGTCAGCACTGCTTCCCTCCCCCCTTCCTCTGG